CGGTCACATAAGCTAAAGGTGGCTAATGTTGGGCTATAAAGGAACTACAGCACGGTCACATGACTTCACGTCACCACCGCTAAGCTAAAGGAGGCTAATGTTGGGCTATAAAGGAACTACAGCACGGTCACATGACTTCACGTCACCACCGCTAAGCTAAAGGAGGCTAATGTTGGGCTATAAAGGAACTACAGCACGGTCACATGACTTCACGTCACCACCGCTAAGCTAAAGGTGGCTAATGTTGGGCTATAAAGGAACTACAGCACGGTCACATGACTTCACTTCACCACCGCTAAGCTAAAGGTGGCTAATGTTGGGCTATAAAGGAACTACAGCACGGTCACATGACTTCACTTCACCACCGCTAAGCTAAAGGAGGCTAATGTTGGGCTATAAAGGAACTACAGCACGGTCACATGACTTCACGTCACCACCGCTAAGCTAAAGGTTACTAATGTTGGGCTATAAAGGAACTACAGCACGGTCACATGACTTCACGTCACCACCGCTAAGCTAAAGGAGGCTAATGTTGGGCTATAAAGGAACTACAGCACGGTCACATGACTTATTTTATGTTGTTGAACAAAATACTCACAGATCTTATTTTAGGCCAACAAGCAAAATCACAATCAGAAAGCCATTGACCTCCAGACCAGGGGACAGGAAGTGACCTCAGTACTGACCTCACAGCTCTCCACGTGTTTTAGGGCGGTGTGCAGCAGCGTTTTGGCAAGCGACCCCAGCTGACCCTTCTTCAGCCGCTGCAGGTCGTCCAATGAGAAGAGGGGGCATCGCTGCATCAGGTGAGCAGGAAGCTGATCGAATGTCACCTGAGGGGAAAACCTGCAGTTGTTCAGCAGCTTCTGTATGTCCATCAGCTGATCCTGGACCTCCTGCAGCAGGGCATCAAGAAAAAAGTCTATATCGATTAAAAAACATCAAAATTTGATTACATGTATTTAAAGTATTTTACTCGCTTCACAATAAATATGTATTTATTCTATCAAAAATAATTATAGTAAAGATTCCAATATCATAATAATAATAATAAATATATTAATTCAAATCATAATAATGAGATTTCCATTAAAAAATCATAGTAAAAATAACAATATATATTTAAAAACATAAATTAATAGTAGTAGAAATATTCATTTATTCCTATAAAAAACATCCTTATAAAAATAGCAATGTAAAATATTACAAATTATAAATAAAATAATTATAACAATGATAATTCTTATAATTATTGATCTCACCCTGAACCTCTCCAGCTCCTTCACTCTGTTGTTCAGAGTCTGGAGGTGGAACAGCGGCTGAAACCACAGGGAGTCCAGCAGCTGCTTGGACAAATCACTCACTGGGTATCTGCAAACATATCATTATATATTATTAATTAATATCTCACATTCATCGTTCCTATTCCCGCTGATTGGTTTGTTCTCAGATTATTAAATACTATAATATGATGAAGAATAAGGCTTTACTTGAATTGACCGTAAGATTAATAGTGTGTGTTAACAGTATCATGATTAAAGGTCACCTATCATGCTATTGTTAGGCAATAGCATAGGTCTCAGATATATACAAATATATAAAAAACATGTCTATGAAGTGTTTTGCTCCAAATACCAAACAGATCACCCATTCTAGCCATGCCTCATATTCCTCTATTTCACTTCCTGTTTCAAAAGTGCTGATTTTATGTATAAAGCTTTAATAAAAAAGGAGGGGTCTGAGCTCATGCGGGACCCAGCA